GTGTCTTAAAAATTCAAACTGGCTTCTGAAACATGCTCATCCTTCAGCTGCTTTAGTGTAGCCCCTAGCACAGTGTTTCTCAGCCTGTGACCCCTGGTGATCAGTAAAATATGAGAAGATGACACTCCAGCCAACTGCAAATCATCTGGTTGACAGCCGGCTGAACATGAGCCGGCAGTGTGCCCAGGTGGCCAAGAAGGCCAACAGCATCCTGGCCTGTATCAGAAATAGTGTGGCCAGCAGGAGTAGGGAAGTGATTGTGCCCCTGTACTCGGCACTGGTGAGGCCACTTCTCGAATCCTGTGTTCAGTTTTGGGCCCCTCACTACAAGAAGGATGCTGAGGTGCTGGAGCGTGTCCAGAGAAGGGCAACGAAGCTGGTGAGGGGTCTGGAGCACAAGTCTTATGAGGAGTGGCTGAGGGAACTGGGGTTGTTCAGTCTGGAGAAGAGGAGGCTGAGGGGAGACCTTATCGCTCTCGACAACTACCTGAAAGGGGGTTGTGGCGAGGTGGGTGTTGGTCTCTTCTCCCAAGTAACCAGCGATAGGATGAGAGGAAATGGCCTCAAGTTGCACCAGGGGAGGTTCAGATTGGATATTTGGAAAAATTTCTTTACTGAGTGGTCAAACACTGGAACAGGCTGCCCAGGGAGGTGATGGAGTCACCACCACTGGTGGTATTTAAAAAAAACATATAGACGTGGCACTCTGGGACATGGTTTAGTGGGCATGGTGGTGTTGGGCTGATGGTTGGACTTGATGATCTTAGAGGTCCTTTCCAACCTTAATGATTCTATGATCCTAGGAAGCAACAGCATGGTGGGAGGGAGTAAATGGACAGAGTGTAATTTAATACTAACTGCTAGTGAATGGAAGGTCTGGTGGTTGCAGAGCACAAACTGGTCAAACACTTTTTTTTTCAGAAGGAAGGAAGTAGTTGCTGAACAGAAAACAAAATGTCTGGGATTAAAAGCTTCCTTCTTGGGTGACAAACTTTTACTGGAGTGTAAGACCGTGGAATAGCGTGGGCATTTAACGCCTCTCATGAGCCACAAATACCTGCGTACAGAGTATGCCGCACCTCCTGCCTAACCAGTGTTTGATTGGGTGGGAATGGCGATAGCAGAACTAGCTAAGGGCAGAACTGCCTGATCCGGTAGCAATTGCACCCTTACTAATTTCTGAAAAATTCTTCTGTAGCTCCCATGATGAGTCTTATACAAAACAGGTGGGTGGTACTTATCTTCACAAAGCAAGAGATATTAGTGATTTGTGTCCCAATGCACTTCTCTCCCCTTTGCTCTCTGCACTCGAATCAGCATTCAGTTGAAACATGGCACTCTCTGATCGCAAGAAAAGAATGTGATGCATCTCTTCCTCATCTTGTTAACACAGTGCTTGCCAAGATTATTCCTTCTTACTTTATACTGTTTTCACCCCCACCAAGGGAAGCTGAACAATGCAGGCTTGTGTTTTAAATTTATTACAGTCATGAATTCAGTGCTAATTGATACTGCAATGTCCTTCTAACAAGCTGAATCTCCTCTGATCATGCTTTCTTTTCATGACAGACTGGAGTGGACCCTTGTGCCATACTAGCAGCAAGGAGAAAAGCCCAGAAGAGGCATGCCAGGGAAATAAAGGCGGCAAATAAACTCAGAAAGAAAGCTATATTGAAACTAGTGAATTCTTCGGTAAATATTTACCTCTGCTTTATCAGCTAACATGCTGCTTTCTGATGTTACCATTCTTGTTTATACAAGGTGCAGAGTGCTACTTGGGTAGGAAGGCGGAGGGAGCGAGCACTGCAGTGTGGACAGGCTACTGAGGGAACAGCGTAGGGATCAGAGGCTTATGGCTGGGTTGGATAATTGTGTTGAACCTTGATTACATCCAGGTAGCGCAGAGCAGAGCCTTTCCACACTCATACTGTCTCAGCAGTGGTGTCGGCAGAAACTGGAGGGACCCTACCTCTCCCCCTCCCCACACACTTGGAATAATCATGCAGAAATAGGATATAATAAACTGAATTCAAATTAGCAGCCCCTGGAACAAAAAGGTGCCATCCACGCTGATCCTGGTTTGGTTAAGTGAGGCAGGTACATTGAGAAGGGTTGTTTGAAACATGCTTGTGCTTTTGTGCATGATTAAATTCACCCCCAGGGTGGGAGCTGGTGTGTGCTTTTTAGCATGGGAAACCAACCAAATGTCTAACTTAAGAGCCCGATTGCTGTTGCTTCTTTTGAATATATAGGCCTGGACAGCATTAGCAGGGCTAAGGCAAGAAAATGGAATAAAAACACACAAACAGGTGTCAGTGTTTGAAGGAAATGGTAATTCACTCCTAAGATAACAGCTTTCAGCCTCTTGCATGTGACTGTAGAAAGACTGGGCATAAGAGAGTAAACCTTGATATAGGTAAGATATGGAAGTTTGTGTGCATGTAAAGCCACTTTCTGTAATGGTTAGGAGCTGTACACCTTTTAAAGGCTGAAAGAACAGATGAGTATGGGGAGGAAGGGGATCTACACTGAAAAAGCATTGGCTGTCATTAAACTTTATTTATCTTCTCTCCCAGACTAACGATGTGGAAGCAAGTGTAAAACATGAGATAGCAAATGATGAGTTACCTGTAAATGGAAAATTTGCATCTGCAGATGCTGGTGTACAAGACAGGTCTCCTGATGAGCATGAACGTTTTGTGGAGCCCAAAACAAACATCTACTCTTTAATTCTGGATTTCACCCCAGTGAACTTTGTGGATTCCGTTGGAGCAAAAACATTAAAATCAGTAAGTGAGGCTTTTTTCCCCCAGAAAAAAACATAGAAAACTTGTAAGATACCTAATAGGGAACTTGTCAGCACAAGACATAAATGCCAGCTCAAATACAATCCAGTATCTCATCTAACCACAGTTTTAATTCTGTAGCTCTGTAAATTTTAGCTGAACACTGAGGAATGTGGACTATGCAGCTTTCACAGTAATTGGCTCACGTCTTGCAGAACTGCAATGTGTACCATGATAATACTTGTGTTTAACTTCAGTTTAACTCTGTTGCAGATTATAAAGGAATACAAAGAAGTTGGCGTCTGTGTCTGTATTGCCAGCTGTAGTGGTGAGTTGAGGTTTGTTTTTTTCTCTGTGAGCTTTATGCGAGAGACTCTGTTTTATTGCTTTCCCTCTGTCCCCAAATTTTCTGCTGCCAGGTGCCTCAGTAGTATCAGCACTTACTTCACATAAAATTGGATTAAATTTGGATTTGAGGGAAAGCAAGCCCATATGCACTAGAGCCTTCACTTTAGTGAAAGTAGAGCACTGACATAATGAGTTCTGTGAGGACTAGATCCTGCTCCCGTTTATTCCAGCTGGCAGATTGTAAGTGCCACGCTGAACTTTGTATCTTGAAATTGTTGTAGTAATGGAATGAGGAGAAAAGCCTGCAATGTTCCACGTTTCTGATATTTGAAATTGTAGCATCTTCTGCCAAGAACAGGCCTCTGTGTATGTCTGGATAAGAGAATTACCCGTTTGGAGTACAAGGAGCATGTGATCCACCTGGCTGTTCTAAACGTTTTAAGTAATAACACATCAGAGAACAAGTTGTTGTCTTCTTCCTGAGGTACCGTTATCTTCTGACTTTGTACTTTAGTTTACACACTGATGCCATGTTTGTTTTTTGTTTTGTAGGCCCTGTTATGAATGAGCTGACAAGATTGAATTTTTTTGATAACACTGTAACAAGAGAGCTGCTGTTTCACAGTATTCATGATGCTGTCCTTGCTTGCCAAGTGAAAGACGGGTCTGCTTCACAGACTGACTTTGACCTGTGAAGAGGGGCATCGAGCAGAATGGAAGCCAGATTTATGCTGATGGAGACTCTGTCTGCATATTTAATTTGCACAGTTTAAAGAAAGCCTAAGGCTATTTGTATCTACGGGTATAGGGTGCTGCTTTTTTTCTGTAGGAAGAGTGGATAAGGAATTGGAAACCTTCATGCTCTTGAATTTTTTCCTTCAATCAGGGTATAGCCTTCCAAGCACAAAATTATGCAAGACAAGAAAATTCAGTGTATTCTGCTACAGTCAGAATCTGATAGGTAAGGTGACATTCCTATTCCTGTTGAGAAAATGGGCACTTCAACTCACTAGGAGGTGGGATCTTGCAGGAAATGACTGTTCTGCAATTGCAATGCACTGTACCAGTGTCTTTAAAGAACTTTCTTAGATGACTTGTAATGCCAGATGTCAGTATCTGCATATAACAGGTTCATATAAATTATAATAATCTGCCAGCTGGATTAATCAATTCACACTGGTGGCATTCAGCTGCTGCTCTTTTTAAACCTGGATGGTACAGTTATTTTTTTAAATGTCTAACCTGTCTCAACTATACTCAATTCATTGTCTGAACATTTCCACTCTAAGTGAACTTCAAATTAGAAACTCATTGTTTAATTATAACATTATCAACATGGTACCTTCACTGCCAAAACCTAGTTATGCTTTCTAGAAGAGAATGCAGTTGATTTTAAGCTAAAATTGGTTTAGCTTCAACGTTTGAAGACAAAACTGGTTTAAGGCAGGAGTGAAGCCTAATACAGTTAAATTAAGAACTGATGCCCTATATGCAGTCTCTTAAACTGGAATAAAAATGTAGACAAGGTCTAAAGTCTGTGGTCCAAAAAACCAAAAAGATAAGTACTTTTCTGTTGCCTGAGAGATCTTCCTACCAGCAGGGCTGCTTCTGCCTCAGCTTTTACATGCTTAGAGAAACAAATTTCAACAGAACTTGGAAATGTTATGTGTGTGGGTTTTTCAAAACAAACAATAGTGTGTGGGGGGGGTTCTGTTGTTTTTAGAACCTGGCTGCTGTGGTACTGCTTGACTTCAGGTGTGAGACAAAAAACATGGAAATGCAATTCAAGCAAAAGAAAGAACTCTTCAATGCCTGTGTTTCCTTAACAGCAATTCCTAGGAATCTGAGCAGAGGTAGGAACCTGGAAGTGTTTCTCTGTAGGTTATTTCGCACCCTCAGATCAAAGGTCCTGTGCATAAGGGAGTTCAAACGACTTCCTCTCTTCTAAATGCAGAACTTAATAGTTTTATTCTGCTTCAAGCTCTGTTGCGGTTTGGGCTTGCTTCAGGTAAACCAAGTTTCCCAAGAACCGGGGGCAGTCGGGGAAGATGTTCTATTTCCTTAGACTCCCCTGCCGATAGGGATAGGAAGCTTTCTGCATCAGAAATCACTGCTTAGCTGGTGTTTGAAGGATGAATTGAATGCACGTTAACACATTGTGCGTGTTTATTTAAACTACTTTTGGTACATTTTATAACGTTAACTAGTTTAACAAGCCTTTGTATCTACATACAGTATATTTTTCTACTTTCAGCTTGTTGCAGCTTCAGTTTTTAACTATGTAGTCTCTTTAGTTCACATCGAAATCCTGTCAACTTCTAAAATAAAGTGATGATCATGACTTGTCAAAATTTTCCACTTTGTCTTGGCAAGACTCTGTATGTGGGATGCAAGCGTCTATTCCTAAGGTGTGGGTGAGGAGGGGTTACCACCTCCACACAGGTCCTCCTGGCTGCTCAGGTTCCTGCTCCTCACCCTCCCAGCCCGCCTGTCCCAGCATGCCAGGCCTCACATTGGTGCAATTAATGCTGCAATTCCCATCCTGGTAGCAGCAGCTGCCCTTCCTGGGGAGTTGCTGAAATGCTGGACTGAAAACCTTCACCCAAGAAAACCCCAGGTCCCAGCCTGTGTGGCCCTGGTACTCTGCAACCTGCTCCCAGTAACTTGTCCCGCACAATAAAATCTGGCGGCATTTGACTAGTCTCTCCCTGCACTTTGTTGCCACCAGCTGAAGCTCTGCTTCCTACTCGCCAGCCGCTGTTCTCTGCCGAAAGGTAATCTGACCTCCTCTTCCCGGTGCCTATTAACAGACTGCTCTCTAAAAATTTAAATCCTACCTTAATCCAGCACTGACGAGCCTAAACAAACCCACATCCTTTAAACTCCTTCCAGGGCTCACTGCTTTCCCCTCCCATTTGTCTGCACTGGCAGGGTAG